CTCACCGCCTGCCTGCCTTTCGAGTCCGCCTCCTGCTCCGCTCCTGACTCCGCCCCCAACTCCACCTCCCGCTGTGGCTCCGCCTCCCACCCCGCCCTCGGCTCCCGCTCTGCCTCCTGCTCTCTGCTTCCTTCTTGCTCCGAAGGTCCTCCTGGACAGGACACTCCCACCCCACAGTGACTCAGAGGCCCATCCCCCCTGGCTGGTGGGCAGCTGCTCACCGGGCCCTCGCCTGCCCCTCGCCACCCCTCCCTGGTCGCCTGGGGCTGTTGGACTGCAGGCAGTCGACCTGAGCAATACTTTGAGGCGCCCGACTGTGTCTTTCCTTCCAAGTGAAGACAAGACCCCATCACTTAAGGACACTGTGCTGCCCTCCCCGCGGGCACCTGCCAGGTTTCCCCTCTGCTCTGACACCTGCACAGGCTCTCCCTCCAGCTATAACGTCTGCAGACCCCCGGACACCCGCCCACTGCCTCCTCGCTTGACCCGGCCCTCCAGGGTCACCTCAGTATGCTTCCCTTCCCCAACACGGTTCATTCATTTCTCAAACGTCTGGGGAGCTCTTTCTGTGCAGGACCGGGATGGACTGTGGGCCGCAAAGATGAAGGGCTCACAGCTCAGCACGGACCGTGCTGTTCCCCACACTGTTCCCTGCAGGGCTGGTCTCATGGGTTAGGAAGCCACCAGGACCTCGGGGAGCCTCCAGGAGGCCTGGCACAAGGGAAGGAGCAAAGGGCAAGGGGCGGGGAGGGGAGGGGAAGGGGCGTTCACTGCTCAGGCCAACCCTGCCAGGACGCCATGCCGGCCTCCCTGACAGCGTTGTTCTGTCCCTGGAATGTCGTCAGTATGTCCTGCAGGGCCTGGCTCAGGTTCCACCACCTCCTTCCCGTCTGTTCTGTGGCTTCAGCTCCTCCAGCCTCCACAAAGGGTGGGGTCGGTCAGGAGGACTCCCGCCAGCACCGTCCCGAGTCACAGAGAGGGCTTCTATTCTCGTCTCTCGTGCTGTGTGGCCGCGTGGCCACGGCGTGTGGAATGACAGTGTCTGTCCCTGACGTGGGCAGGCCCTCGGCGTCCGGGGGATGCATTCAGAGGCACCTTTTCTTCTCTCTGTCAATGTAGGGTTCGATGGCCTTCAGGCGTGCACGGACCCAGGCGTCCCCGAGAACGGCTTCAGGACGCCCAGCGGAGGGGTGTTCCCTGAGAGCTCTGTCACCCAGTTTCACTGTGAAGACGGGTTCAAGCTGAAGGGCTCCACAAAGAGACTGTGTGTGCGACACCCTAACGGCACCCTCGGCTGGATCCCCAGCGATAAGCCTGTCTGTGCGCGAGAAGGTAAAGTGCGCGCCCTGCCCGCCCCGTCCGGGCAGGCCGATACCCCGGGCCGCGCCATCCGGCCCAGCCTGCATGCGGATGGGAAGGCGGTGTGGCCAGGGCTGGGGCCCGGGATGAATTTGCCCCCGTGGCAGGAGGGACCGTGTTCCTCCTCCGCCCCAGTTCCCACTCGTCACCGTTTTTGTCCGTGTGAGCGAGCGGCTGGGAGAATGTTAGAGCCGCTCACTGTGCGCAGCCTCCGTCCATACGGAGACGCACATTTTGGACATGAGCCACGTAAGGAGGGAGCACCGCAGGGCCAGCCGACCTGGCGGGCGTTTATTTCTGGCAAGTATCCTGCTTGAGACGCGGCAGTCACTTACCGTTCGCGCCAGCCCACGCCTGCTGGTCGAGACGGCTTTGCTTGTAGGTGCGTAGGGTCCGGAAGGGAGCCCTGGGTGCCGCTGGTTGGGGAGGCGTGACGCGGTTTGTGTGTCTGAGGCCGGCAGAGCCTGGGTCTCTCGGTTCAGTGTCCGTCGTTGATTTTGGTTTATCACGGAGCTGTCACCGCGGCATGCGGGCTGTTACTCTGAAGGAGCCGAGATCCTTCTTGTGAACGTCTCTCCGTAGCTGACTTGGGGAGGCCTTGACAGGGCACCGGCTCAGCCCTCCTGGGGACTGCGGCCTGTCCCCAGAGTTCGCCCTGCCCTGGCTTTTAATTTCAAGGTTTTTTGTTTTTGTTTTTGTTTTTTTAAAGAGAAAAAATTAGCGCAAAGAATTAGGGTGAAATAAGTCAGAGAAAGATGAATACCGCGTGATTTCACCTCCGTGTGGATTCTAAAGAGCAAAGCTGACGAATAAACGGAACAGAAGAGAAACAGACCCCCCGAAAGAGAGAATCCCAAGCAGGCTCTGAACCCTGAGATCATGACCTGAGCCGAAACGAGGAGTCGGACGCCTCCTTGAGCCACCCAGGCACCCTGTACGTTCAGATTTTCTGCTCCCGTGCAGCCCGTGCAGGCCATGGTTTCCATGAGGTTCTACTGATTAAAAGTGTGTTTGGTTTGCAAATCCTGACTTTCCTGCCAGAATCTGTGCCCTGTGGTCTCAGTGTTTAAAATCTGGACAAGCTCAGGAACCTCTGAGGGCAAAGAGGACACGTGGGCTTCGTGGTTATTGCCCGGAGATGGGGAGACCTTTCCGTATTTCCGTCCTGGGGGAAAAAAAAAGATGGCCCCTTCCCAGGCCTCCATAAGCACGTAGTCTGTAGTAATTCCAGAAAGGGAAGGAGCATCTGCTGTGGACAGCCCCAGGTGTACGGGGAGGGCCGTGCTCCTGGGGTGCCCCGGGGACCCCCAGCCCTTCCTTCCACAGCCGAAAATAAGACCACCCTTTCCACAGAGGGTCCAGACATCGTGTTGTGGTCTCAGGATCGGTTCAGAGAGTTCAGAAGAACAGAAACCACCTTTCTAAGTAGCAGCCGTTTCTCAATAATAACGGTAACCTTGGGGGGCTTTGGGAGACGTGCGGGAAGAGGCGTCCTGTGCTGCTGCGATGGTGGAGACATGCGTCGCTGTTTGTGGACCGCGGGGGCGGGGGCACCGTGGGTGTCCCACAGAGGCGAGAACGCGGAACCGTTCTCCGCTGAGGTGTGCGTGGCCTCCCGCCCCGTCCAGGACTGTGCCGTGCGGATGCCGGGCTGCTGAATTCCTTGGTTCCCTCCGTCCGGGCGTCAAGGTGCCGAATTTTGGGCGGTAGTAGTAACAGGGGTCAGTCACCGCGTTCAGATAAGCCCTCAATGCTGAGAAGCACTTTCGAGGGGGCAGCCTCCCCGGTTAGGAAGGTGAGGCTCAGAGAGGTTCGCTGGCGTTGTCCCGGTCACATAGCAGACGTGCAGGCAACAGGCTTGGAGCCGCGGGTTTTCCCCTGCGAGGTCGTGTCACGGAGGCCACTCCCAAGGGCGCGTGGTTACTACAGGTGGCGGTGTTGGTGCTCAGGGCGGAGGGACTCAGAGGAACGTGGGGCCCAAACCCCCCTTCTGATCTGGTTTTTGTCGGACCCAAAGGGAAACCGAGAGCCTTCCCACAGTTAAATGGCGATTTAGGGACAGACCTGGTCCAGCCCCTGGTCTTGTCACTGTCACCTGGACCCCTCCCGGGCTGTCACGCTGGCGGCCAGTCCTGCCTGAGATGCGGATTTTTGAAAAGTAGGTTTAGATGCAGGAAAATGCATTGTTATCCTGCTACAGGCGCCCTACAGAAGCGAGGTGGCACCTCCCTGGCTCGCCCGGATGCCCGCTGTCTCTTCACCATGCTCCACCTCAGCCCGATTCCAGTCTTAATCGTTCCCTCCAAGAAAACGACCGAGTTTCAGGTTTGGACTCATGGGACTGATCATGTAGGCGGTGGAGTTTTACGGCACTGAGACCTTCCACCCTACAGATGCAGAAACATCCTCTCCAGGCTGGTTCCGAGAGACCGGAGCCCCCACGGCCCGAAGCAGAGCTGAGGACGGTCACTGTTCAGGGAGCAGGGGAGGCGGTGGTGTGGTGGAGGGGACTGAAAACACACCCCATGGGTGCAGGGCGGTGATGTGGCAAGTCCAGAGCCCAGGGGACAGGGTGAGAGCCACCGATGGGCCTCTGCTCAGGTCTGCTGGGGGACACCTGCCCGCGGGTAAACACCCCTCGCCCAGTTCTCACGGGGGGTGAAGGCTGACTTTGCCTGAAGCCACCTGACAAACACTTACTGGACTCGTGTCAAACCAGGACGCGGAGAGGCCATCCCTCCCCTGACAGGGGCAGGGTCAGTGTTGCACACGTAAGGAAGGGGTGTGTTTAGAAGATCAGTACGCAAATGAGACTACAATAAGAGTAATTCGAATCTACTTAGGTTATGAGAAAATAGCACATGGGGCCTGGGGGGGGGGGGTGATCCGCCTGTGTCTTGCCCAAACGGACGTGCCACCGGCATTCGTGGAAACGACGGCCGGGCAGAGCCCTCTCCGCGCCCTGGCATTGTTACACCGGCTGTGCGTTTTCAGATGGACAATGGCCCACAGGTCCCGGCTGGGGGAGCCCAGGTTACCAGGCCGCGATCTACACCTTCTGCCCAGGCCCCCCCTCCCTTAGGACCCTCATCCGGGAGGGCGTTTGGGACGCTCATGAGAGTCAGACGGCAGCTTATAGCTTCGGGTGGACACAGCTCTGTGTTCAGACAAGCTGGTCCTCGTGCAAAACCACAACCTTCTCTTTTCCGCCTGCGGCTTCTCTGCTGGAGGCTTTGGAGGCAGATGGACCCGTGCGTGTTTATGCAGCGGGATTTAGATGCTAAAGGAGCTGTGATCTGCGTGCGGCCGGACACGGTTCTCTTGTCCCCGTAGCGGCTCCGTGGATGGTCACGGTCACGCCGACGTCGGTCTCAGGCAGACGCACAGTGAGCAAACCAGATGGGCATCCGGCAAATGGGGCATCACAGGTCTCAGACAGATTCACACGGGGCTCGTCCCGAGCAGGCTCCCAGACCGCACCTCTGGGGCGCCTTCCTGACAAGGGTGCAGCCAGCGGAGGCGCTGTGACCCGGACCGTGTGGGGGACCCTGCCTGTGGCTGGCCGGGTGGTTCCTTCTGCCCCAGGAGGAGCGGAGGGTGCGTGGGGGACAAAGCGTTGTTCGAGCTGCACGTGCACGTGCCCTGAAAGTGCCGCCCCTGTCCGGAGACCCCCAGGGCCTTTCTGGCCATGAGTACGACTCCTGGAATGGCCAGGGGGGAGGGGAGCCTCGTGGCCCTTGTAGGCGGGAGGCCGGGGCCCACGCTCTGCACGCTGGCTGGGCTCCCAATGCGCTTTGTCTGCTCGTCTGCAGGGCCCCCACAGCCCTAGGCCATCTGGGTAAGGTTTGCATCCCTCAGGTGGGCGTTTGCTGAGAGTACTCACGCTGAGCAACTTCGGGTTTCTGGGTCTTTGTGTGGCTTTTCTCGACATTTCGGCTATAGGTGCGTTTGGCTGAAGCCATTCTGACTCATTCACCCCCAGGAAAGCACGTGTAAACCCTCCCGTTTTTCCTATTGGCTTGGTGTGCTTTTTATCAGCACTGGAACCTGCCCCACGCCCGTCACACACGGGCGTGCACACACCCGGCCACCCCCAGTGCACACCTGGGCGTCTGCGTGTTACCTGTGCATCTGGGCGTCTGCTCCTCACCTGGGCATCTGCGCGTTACCTATTACCTGGGCGTCTGCACCTTACCTGGGCGCCTGCTCATTACCTGGATGTCTGTGCGTTACCTGGGCGTCCCTTCCCCACCAAGAGCGCTGTGTTTTAAGGAGGGTCGGCGTGTGCACCGGGGACCGTGCACTGCCACCTGAGGTTCCCACCCAGCCCCACGAAGCAGGTGTTAACGACCTTACTTTCCAGACGAGAAAGTGCAGGTGAGAGGGGCCTCCCAGGAAGCGAGTCCAAGAGCGGGATTCAGATCCAGGCGTTGCCCCCCGAGATGATGACCTCCAGGGGAGGGGGGAGCAGGTGACATGTGTCCTTCTGACCCCAGACCCATGCCCCTTGGGGGAGGCGTCGTGTCTGTTTGTTCAGTCCCCTGGTTCCCAAAGTGTGTGCCGTGGGCTCCTCGTCTCAAGAACTTGCTAAGAATACATCTTCAGGCCTCCGGACTTGGAAGGTTAGGAGTGAGAGCAGCTCTCTGCATATTTTTTTAAACTCCTGAAAACAGCTTGAGGCCCACACACACCGGGACGTGCCAGAGTGTTTTCCCGGGGGGAGGACACGACGTTCTCTGGTGTGAGGCAGATCCTGGGAGATGAACTCGTACGGTCAGAGAGCGCCCGTGCTGGCATTTGTGGACAGAGACACTACAGCCCGGGAGTACGGGTCACGTGGCAGACACACTGGGGCTGGGACCAGCGTCCGGACTCCTCGTTCAGTGCTCTTCCTGCAGAGCCCCCGGGGAGCCTGAGAAAGAGCGGGGTCTGGAACGTCCTCCAGGAGGCTGTCAGTTGTTCTGGGCGGCGAA